GGAAGAGTGATGTGAATACAATACGATTCCAGGAATCCCTCGCTTCCTGGAACAGATTAAAAGGGCAAACAAAAGATTACTTAGTAGGTTGGGCTTTTTTTTTTTTTCCCTCGGAGCTTCATTACTTCTAGAGTCAGTGAAAAAGCAGGTTGCTTCTCCGCCGGCTCTCCTCCCCCGAGCGTTCGGGGAGGGATTATTTATTGGTATCTATTTATTATTATTTCAGACTGCTCTAAATATTTTTTCTAAAATATCGCTCTGAAGGAAGATTAGTTCCTCTTCAAACATATGTAATTTCCCTTTTCTCTGGTTATTTTGAAAACTTTTTGTTGTTGTTGTTTTCTGAAAAGCAGAACGAGAACACATTATTTTCTAAGGCACTTGAGAGTGCACGCGTTCTCCTGGCCAAAGTTGCTAAACAATCCGCGAAGTCTTTCTCGGACAGCCCGATTTGCCTTCTGCTCGGCTGCTGCTGCGTCTGAAACACAACCTGCCGCGGAAGGGGCTTGCTGGGACTCCCCAGCCTTCTCTTACCGCGAACCCCGAACTAGAGGCTGGAACTAGCTTGCTCCTTCTGGGAAGCAAAGAAAAAGGAGACGAGAAGAAAAAAAGGGAAGCGGAGAAGGCACTTCCCACCTTCCTGAAGACTTAATGCTTTTCCCTTGGTCCAGGAGTGACATGATCCTCTGTGTTCAGGGGTAAGATACTCTGCAACCTTCTTTTAAAAGCGGTGGGTTGATAACTGTAATTAGTAAGATTCTCTGGGACAGTTTTTCAGCTCGTGTGAGCTGCCGTGTGTGATTGTAATGGAACGGCAATGACTTAACGCTGGCCGAGTGCTAAGCTGTGCGCGTCTGTCCGCTGTGTCTGCTTTTTAGATTCTGTGCTCAAAAATCATGGCATCGTAAAGTATTCCCGATTTCCGTGCTGAAATTCTGCTGCTGAAAAACAACATGGTATTCAGAGTCTTTGGGAGAGTAAAAATTAGTAAAAACAAGCCCGGGACCGTAGGTGTCTAATGCCCCGGTGGAAACAAACTGCTTAGAGAGAAAAATTTCCCCGGACTTCAGATGGTTTTTGTCTATTCTTAAGTGAATATTTATGCTAAACATAGTTTTGGTTTTCTGTTGCTTTTATGCGTGAGATTAAATGCATGTACATATATACAGATTTATCCAGCGTTCTGTACAAGGAAAGCCATAGGGAGCACGGATCTAGTTACCCCACCTTTGTTCAGTAAAACAGGTAACATCCAAGTCCCTTCTCCGGTACCGCTGTCTGGTACCGGAGTGTTGGCACTTCGGTGTCTGTGTGATCTGCTCAGGCCATCAGCACGCATAAATACCTGGTCTGCGGGAATCATCCAGCATTTTTACACATGCTGCACATTTGGAAAGTGTCAGCATTTGTTTCAGCCTGACCCGTAATGCCAGTATTACCCATCTCTCCTGCTCTCAGCGGATTTTCCTCAGAGGCAATGCATTTGTCTTGTCTGCTTTAAATGACGAAAGCACAGGGATTTTTCTGCCATTTCCCCTCAAAATCTGTTCCACAGACAAGCAGAGCTCATGCTTACCAATACTTTCCTACTACTCAAGTGGGTTTGTTTTCGCTCTCATTTTCAGTCTACTGCCGCAGTTCCTCCAGCCACGGCAAAGGGAATTAATTTTTCAACTTAAGTTTTGTGAAACCCTTATCTGAAGCTTTCCTCCAGGGTTAACATACCAGAGCTACTGCTTTCCGTCACCTGCTAAGAACTTGTTACGTAGCCAGACGTGGAGATGGTTGGCTCTTAATATCTTTTTTTATGACAATGTATTGCTCAGTTTTCATTATCCTCTAGGATTTCATATATCCTGGACTCCATACTCTTCCACCTATTCAGACCAAGCTCCCATTGGAGCCTTGGGATGTGGCTGATGGGAGAGCAGCTCCACACACTTTTTTCCTGTGTTACAAAGTTTCAGCTTATCAGCAGTTAACTGCAAAGATAATGCTAAATGATATTGGATGTACCTGATTCTCTTGAACTTTCTTCGCTTTCCAGGGCTTTTTGAAACACTAATTGCCAAAGCACAGGGAAGTTCATTTGCGGTTTCTCTTGGGACTCCACACACACTACCAGCTAGACATTCCAAATTTTATATATTTGTTTTCTTCCTCATCGCAGCTGTTGTACTAACACTTTACTCTGTTCAGTCCTGATTCTCCACAAGTCTCTCTACTTTCTTTCTTACAAGCACTAATTATTTTCAAATACTTACTTTGCCCCATTAAAGGGCTGACTTTTTCATGTCAGCATACTTTTTTCAACATGTCCTTATCCCGGCAAACTTCTTATCTCAGAGAAGTTGTAGTCTGCCATTACTCACTGATCCCTCTGCTCTCCCTTTCCTGTGCTTGGTGTTGCTCTGGTCACAGCAGCAGCCCTTTTTTCTTCAACTTAGGTACAAAACTGTTTAGGATGCCAGCACCTCCTGGTCTGTGAGAATTTCTAATCCCACTGTGCTCCTTTGAGACTATAGCTGCACTAGGACTCTTCTTGTAGAGGGAGAGAGGGGCATAGGGCAGGCTTACAGAGGACAACAGGAGGAGTATAAGCATGGCCCTTCTCTGGCTGCAGTAGAACAATCTCCACAGTGACTGCAGGGGTCTGGGCTCCTTCAGCTTCAGGTGGCAGAAAGTGTAAGGCAGCAGAGCACGAGCACAGTGGAAGCCTCATCTCCAGCACATGGGCTCTGCTTTGGAGACACCCAGAGTGGCTCTATGAAAGAAACCTACTGACAAATTCATGTAGTTGATGTGTCTTTCGGAGGACCAAACTGTGAACTGGTACAGCCCTTGAAATGAACAACTATCTGCAATTAAATGGGAGTACATTTCCCCACGTAGCTTTGCTATCTCTCCCATCCTTCCCCGTCTCTTAGCCAATTCCTAATTTCTTCTCCAAAGTAGGTATATACAAAGAAAAAAAAGTAGTCCCTACACTAGGAATGAGAAAAGTTTTCCTTGTGTCCAAAACCTTTCCCAAAAGGTAGGTCAGAACAATTTTCCAAGAGAAAATAAGTTCAGAGAGATTTGGAATTTGGACCGTGGAATTCAAGTTCTGGGGAGCGAGTGGGCAGTGAGCAGTGCAGGACTGATCTTACTTAACATTGGTCACAGTCATTTTCAGCTCAGTGAACAGTCAGTGTAAGAACACACCTGAAAGAAAATGCTCTGCCAGCAGTCCTGTGTAACACCCTCTTTGTACAGCGCAAACTATTATATTAGGTTCAGTACAGTGAAGGATCTGGTTTACAGTCCTCCTTGCTCAAAAAGGGGGGAAATAGAGAATCAAGAATCTCCTTTCCCCAAGAAGGCAGGTAGCTAGACATTTGTGATGACTATGATATTAAGAGGGAGACATTCAAATATCTTTAAAAACACAGCCCTCAACACCCACAAAAGTAGCTCAGGTGGGACTTAAAAGAGCACTCGGACGTTTCCCAACAGTGATCTCCAGGTATAAAAGCATATTCAGATCCACTGTTCTGTGAAAGCCACTGAAAACGCAGCCCCTGTGATCAAGGGTGCCTGGTGAAGATAAGGGCCAGCAATCACTTTTATTAGGTTTGGCTTCCTACCCATGAATAGAAACTAAGAAATGAGGATCAAATGCCATGAATGCCAAGTAGATATCCTGCTCCTGAAATGTGATTTGACATACCAAAAAAGGAAGAATGTTCATTTCTAAATGCCAACAGAATAGTGGGGGTTTGCCATGTATTGCATGGGCAAGAAGTGTTCCTCTGTAGATTCAAATTTTTCCAATAGTTTTACAAAAACCTTACTCTGAACCTGTGTGGTTCTGTTAGAAATGCAGAGTCAGGGAACTAATCGTGGCTCCCACTCACAAATCGTTGTGAAGTCGTTTTTCGGTTCTCTGAAAACTACTTTTCCCCCAAATCCCTTCTTCTTGCTCCCTGTCCCATACCTGAGACTCAGCAGTTTGAGAAGGTAGAGCACAGCTATGATCAAGTGCAGATCAGTTTACAACATGTTTATGTATGTATCTATAGTGTCACTGTTCACATAAAGCACAGAGAAGGAGAAGACAGGAAGGGAATTGCTTATGACTTCAGAGTCTCCTTCCGCTTCTCCAGTGATGTGGGAGGAGGTGGCTGCTGCCTTTGCGATCACTGTCAGCTCCAACGGTGCTGTGACAGTCTCACGTTGAGGGCTCTGTTGTATTTCTCTGGAAACTCAGCCATCTTTTCTGTTAAGTGTCTGAAAGAAGGTCTCGAGCAAGCGAGTGCATGTGGGGGATTAACACAGGACATGCAGCAGTACAGGGCACACAAAGGGAAAAAGCATAGAAGAGGTGACAGAGACTAATGTTTTTGCTCAGGAGATTATCTGGGACTGAAGACTTCCCTGGCCCCCAACATCCATCCTTCCCCTGGAGCTCTGCCTTCCTTTAGGAATCTCCATGCTGCAGAGAAGGAGCACCCGTGGCTCCTTCCCATGAGAGCTCCAGGCTTCCTGAAAGTGCACTTAGATGCTGAACGGCTACACTAACGCTCTCCTTAGGCCACAGAGGGATTAATGATCATAGCAGCCCAGTCGTGGCCAAACCTCCTACTGCTGTAATCCTGCGGGGAATACAGTCACACTGAGATCTCTGTCGTGCCGTTGAACACCAGGGTTTGTGTAGTGGAGAGGCTTGGCTAAAGCAAGAATTCCCCTTATTCTACAAGATCAGCTCACACTGAATTCTAACAGACACACTTAGGATCAGGTCAACCTTGAGCAGAAAGCAGGTAGGACAAAATGCAAGCTATTCCCAGTTCTGCTTCTAATTATATTACAGTAAATGACTAACAAACCCACTGGCAAAAAAAGAAATGCTCCAACATTGTAATGATGTAAGTGAAGCTGTAATGCTGCTATGAACCTTATTGCCTCTGAAACTACATATTAAAAGGCAACACCTAAAAATATTGGGTTTAAAATCAACCTAAATTGCAAGATAGACCACCTTTTACAAGGTGAAAGAGGCCAACTCTCCCTGTTTCTAAGTGCTCGTCTTTAGCTATGTAATTTTTCCCCCCTTGCCTCTTTCTGAAACATAATCATATTGAGGATCCGTTTATAAAACATAACATGTTGTGGTACAATGTAGCGTGCACTGAACAGACACTGCAACCTATTTCAAGGCAAGGCAAAATAGCAGAGTCTGTCCTTCGTTTCAGACCTCGTCCTTTGCTGGCGGAGGAAAAGATCAGGAGACTGTCACTCAGGGGCCTTGCGGTGGATTTGTCAGAGCCCATCATGCAGCCTCTCCCAGTTACTGCCTTCCAGGAGGAGTCCACACCTGCCTTTGCAGCACCAGTTCCAGACAGCAACCCACCTCAGGCACGAGACCCTGAAGAAGACCTCCTCTGCATTGCAAAAACCTTCTCCTATCTGCGAGAATCTGGTAAGGCTCAACTCACAAAGTCACGGGGTCAGGAAGCTACAGGGAGCAGGGAGCCAACTCTGCAAGCTGAGCTCCAGCAAAAATCTCCTGATCCCACTTCAGATAGGAACCTGGTTCTGTCACAGCCATGGCTGAGTCTTGTGGATGCCACAAGTGTATTTTCAGTCTCTACAAACTTGTATTGTGAAGTAATTCATTACCGGTGTAAAAGCACAAGCTTTGTCTTTTATAACTGAATCAGGAGAAAGAAATGCAAAAAGGCCCCTCTTTCCC